TCCATCTCAATTCCCATTTTTTCTAATTTAAAAATCAGCATTGGGATATCAATTCTGTCAAACGCTTTGCTGAAGTCTGTATATAGAGCTTCTACTTGGTTACCTCTGTCCATTGCATTTAATACAAAGTCCACTAATTCCAAAAGGTTTGTGGTGGTTGAACGGCCTTTAAAAAATCCGTGTTGTGCACTAGTTATTCTTTGAAGTCCTCGCGTTTGGAGCACTGTCTGTCGGAACCTTGGTGAGCACCACCACAGTTGGCGCATTCTAACGCCACGGCTCCATCCGCAGGACAGTCGGAACTGGCGTGGTCTTGAGCGCAATTGCCACAGCGTGGCTTAATGTTGCAGTTGCGGGTGCCGAGTCCAAAGTTCAGACACCGTTGGCACTGAGTCACATCACGATGGCCACCACGGTATGGCTCCCAGCGGACGATGATCGAATTGATGGAGCGGATGGCTTTCAGCGCGTTGAGCGTCACCGTTCCTTTCTGGAAGTGTACCAGGAAGAGGCTATCCGGATACGCCTTCACATTTTCGTCCTTCCTTGTCATCCGATAGACGGCACTTGGGGCCAGCTTGTACCGGTCTCTGATTTCAGCTTCGATAAACTTCGGGTCGAAGTTTGGTAGGCCCCTTATGACGACCTTGAATGGCTTCTCACCGGGAATGTTGTGGGTGAAGAATTCCACCTTGGAAGTCCTCAGGTGGGCGACGACCAAGTCATACTCCGCTTTGGTACGGAGCACCACCTTGGTGCCGACTCTGCCCAACTTGTATTCGGCTTTAACGCCCAGCGTCGCTAGATCTGCGATGAGCTCATTACGATGGGCATTTTTCACTACCAATGGAGGTAGCTTCACTTTTGCCGCACTCGGGCCGGCAGAATTTTCGTTGCCGATGGCGTCGCCGAAATCACCGATGTCGCTGGCGTTCGTCGCAGTGACATCGGATTGGCCTCGATTCTTCTTCCTCTTCTTGCTGCGTTTTTCCAACACAGTTGGCTGGATATTCCCATCCATGGGGAGAACAGCAAACCTGTTCGAGGTAGGCACACCGGAGCTTCCTTCACCGGGGTCTGGACCTTCGCCGGGCTTCGCGACCGATGCTCCCCCATTTCGGGGCACACACACGCACGACAAACCGCGAAAGAGAGAGGGCGAACACTATCGCCACGAACTTTTCAAACAACTCGAGAGACCGAGCTAACACCGAACTGAACTGCTTGACGATCAAGCAGAGAATCATGAGTGAGTTGAGGCACATTAGCAGCGCTGTTTTATAACTTTTCTGATTCAAGCAGCACCAAATTGTACTTGATTATGATGACTGGGCTTGGGGAGAACGTTTATTTCATGAAAACAGTGATAAAATTATCACTTTTTATTTGTCCAATTTTAAAACAGTTTCTTATGAAAAATTAAAAAAAAAAGTTTATTGCAACAGCTTACGACAGGTATTTCCTATCGATTGGTGTTTTCGGATTTTAATTTAAGCTATAAATGACAAAGCTTATAGCGTTCAAAAAATTATATCTTTTCGTGACGGTCGCAATTTTAGATTTCCGATTTACCCCAGTACCTTCCCGTAAGACGTAGTCTACGTCAAAAAATCATTTGTCTTATACGTATGTCCACAGTATGAAGCGATTTCAGCACAAGTAATATCTTTATCTTGGAATTTGTGCTCTATCAGCTTGTTTTGTAATATCGGGGGTAAGTCCTGTACTTTGTCGACATATTTCTCCACCAAAAACTTTTTCTCAAAGCGAATATTTCTTTTATTGAGTAAACCCTGGTAGTATTGATGATGCTCTGAGCAAAGTTTCAAAACATTTTTGAATTTCAATGTACTGCGCACTGCTCTCTTAAAAAAACAGTGCTTACGCTCGCAAAACAGGGGTCAATACGTCATAAGAAATAAATATATCACCGAGGGTAATGAAACATAAAATGATGTTTCGGTCTTAGTGGAACATCGAACATTAGAGTTCGCTTTTCCAAATACTCAGTGATAAAGGAAGTCAACAATTCGATTTGCTCGGCGCAAACAATTGGCAATGATATAATGTCAGTGATTTGCTGGATTTCACGACGAGAGAGCATGACGAGGAGTTCCGTTGGAGTACACGCATTTTGGTGCAGTAGCTGCGCAGGCACCATCCTCATGTTTCTCCCCGCATGTGGAGCAGCGTGCCTTGTTGTCGCAGTGGGAGGCCGTATGTCCAAACCGCTTGCAATTCTGGCAGTTCATGACCCGAGGTACAAACAACCGCACAGGAAGACCAAGTTTTCCCAGCTCGATGTACTGAGGAAGGGCAGATCCAGAAAAGGTCTCCCGAAACGAGTCTATGGGGGTAAAACTCTTTTTGCCCTCGCTGAGCGATACTGATTTCATTCTATGAACGGCCAGTATCTTTACCGGAGGAAGTAAGGGGTTCTTGAATCGGCCAACCGCTTGCTTCTTCAGTATCTCGGGGTTCAGGCTCGCCTCAGTGACCACGCCTTCGATCTCCACATCAGAGACTGGCATGTACACCCTATATTCCAGTGTGAAAAACTGGGAAACAGCAATCTCATTGGCCTGCTTCAGGTTAGCGATTACCACACGAAGTTTGTTGTGCCTAACCTTCGTTATTTCGGTCACGGCAGAGAATCGCTTTGTCAGATCATCAGATATTTGAACAACATTCAAGGGTTTGTTTTTGGGCTGAAAATAGACAACCCATGGGCCAATCGAGTCACTCGGGTAGGCACGATTTCGGTGGAGGGTTTGCGTCTGAGACGACGAAGCACCGGGGGGATCGAGAGGCGAAGGGAAGCCGTCGTCCGACAAAATGTCCGCGATGTCATCTGACATCGCGTCCATATTGCCGTATTAGTGGGAGCGAGAACGCTCTACCACGCGACTTGAATCCGAAACAAACACAAAACACAATACAGATTCTTATTACAGAAGCACAAAATGGATACCTATTCAAAATTTAACTAATGAGGGAGGAAAAGAAACAACACTGAACAAAAACTTATCTGATAATCCTATACTACCGCTACCGAGCGTTATATGTGTAGGCGTTTACACAGATGGCTGGGAAGCGACGCGTAGCGTGGGCGATCTTCGTTGTGGTATGCGCGGCACTCAGCTGTACACACGATGATGTATGAACGATGTAGAGACGGGTGCTCACACTCGATGATGATGGTGATGAAAGGTGAGCAGGTATGCGTGACCACGCAACGATGATGCACTAATTGGTTTGCGAATTGCCAATCGCACAGATTATTCTTTTCTTCCAATGATGTTGAAAAACACTTCTTCTCAGAAAAAAACTCACTTTCAAATTAATTTGCCTTGGGACATTGTCATGAAACACTAAGTGAGAAAAAACTGATAATATACACCAGCGAATAGCGAGAAAACTTCCAAAACAACGGAGCGCGAGACAAGTCGACCGTACTTCTTGCTAGGACGCAGTGGATATTACACTTAATGGAACGTAAAACTACAGAAACGGAACAATGGGTCACTATACATTCCGTGATTTTTTTTTTTAAATTACGCCTCATGTACTTTTCATATTTTTAACAAATCTATGAAAGAATATAAAAACCAGTTCTGGAAAGGTCATCTTATAGTAGACATCCTGCAGATTAGCATAGTTTTCTCATTTTGCAAATTTCATTCTATTACCTCCATAAAAGGGACTTGTTTGGGTAAAAAATTACCACCATTTACCACAAACACACATACACACGCTCATTCGTCATCAGAAAATAGCACCGCAAGCAAACAACCATCACGGAGGACGCAGTTAAAGCGAAGTACCGTTGAAAATTTGCTGCAATTTTCTGCCATAAGTAAAAAAACTCACAATTCGCCAGTATAAAAAAAAAAAAGCAAAACAACGCATCGTAAAGCCAGGGAACGACCAAAACCGGCGTCGTGTCCTAACGAACAGCAAAGTCAAATAAACATAGCAGACGATGAAGTAGGTAGTAAAGGGGTGGTGCTGCTGAAAATAAACCACCGGAGCTTTGGAACTGGGTGCTGCCATGTTTTCAGCAAAAATTATGACGGGCCATAAAGGCAAGGAAAGGATTAGGACTCATCTTTTATTCAGGATTACGCTTGGCTGCTGTTGGAGGAAAATCTGCGTGCGGAGACACCCGGGAGTCCATTCCCGTTGACAGTGTGGCGGTTGGCTGTCGTTGATGCAAATGAGACCACTTCCACCTTCCACACTAAAAACCGGGCCGAGGCATATGCCTCTCCGGAAGGAGGAACCTCCGTTTGCCAAAATTGGATCGATGAAAGTGAAACTTTTATACGCTTCATAATATTTTATTTGAGGCACCTTTTTCCATGGGACGGTCGACTGTCTCCTATCGTAAGGAAACGTAAATGACAGCTGTCGGTCGGGAAGGGGAGTGAAGGATAGGGGACATATTTCATCGGAATCGCCGTCGGGTAACCCATTAAAGAAAACTGAAGCAGGTCACATACAGATGCTTATTCATGATTCATTGAATCCACAAAATGGGTCCGGTTTTGATACGAACGATGCTTACGAAGCGGGTATAGTCGTTGCCAATTTCACGCACTTGTGCTTTCGATTTTCGGCGGTACACAGCCAGGGGATGAAAGACATCCTCCTTGTAGGTAGGTAGCTTCAACAAACAAGCGATGCCAATCAAACGTGAACAAACAACTGACGGTACATTTCAAATGCATTCAATCAGAAACGCAGTAGTTGCAAAGAAGCATCCAATTGCGTCAGCAAGTCGTAAAAACAAGTCTCGAAAACACTCCTACAGAGTTGCAATCTCAATCAGATCAAATTAGAAAACAAACCCTTGCCTCTTCGGTAGTGTTTTCTTAGCACATTGTAGCTGTTATAGCAGCACCCCATCCAAACATCGTAAGCTCTAACAATATCCTTTTTTCTTTATTCTAAAAATTCATCGTTATTCTGTCTGGGATTCGATGGCATTCCATTCGCAGATTTACGATCTACAAGGTGAACAAAGCGTCCAAGAAGAAGCGGGAGAAGTCTTCGGCGAAGAAGGAACGCAAAGCTACCAAAACGTTAGCGATAGTGTTAGGTAAGTGTTGCACATCTGCTTGTAATTACTTGATAAAAACGGACACCTACCAATTGCTGAGAATATTGATTTGGAGAAATCAATAGAGTTGGTTGGAAATACTAACATGAAGCTTTAGTGTGATAATTTATTAGGGTAGGTGGATAGTTCAGTTAGAGTACGGCAGTATGAAAATTGAATAGAAGTTGAAAATGAGCGAAGGGCCATTAATGCGACAGTTTTGAAAGATAGACGCACATCTTTTGCCTAACCCGTACGATGTACGCGGAGACTTGAAGTATGTCTCCAAGTCTACAGGCAAAAATGTGCGTCCCTCTTTTGCTCATAAACTGACTGCGGCTGTGGAATAGTTCTAGCGACGTTTTCATCACTACCTAAAGCCCTAAAGCCCTAAAGTTACTTCATTATGATGGCTACCAAGCCTTTGGGATTTTCCTTATTAGAGAGTTGTATAGATTTTTCTCCTTTAGCTTACTTAAATCTTTGGTTTTTATTAGTTAGGTAGGTTCCGATTCAACACATTGTAGTTTCATGTTGATACCTGTGATCTTGACTTTTTTACCTAGGAGATGAGTACTTAAGGGGGTTAGATTTTGATAAGTTCTTTAGTGGGAATGACACTGATGAAGACTGCACATTGTAGTCGAAATACGTGACAAAGCTGTATCACCATTTATATACCCACCATATACTACACTATGTTTGTTTTGATTCGCTATAAAAGTTTTACAGATAAAATGAGGGGTTCGTGGATTTTTCTATGTGTCGAGGGGTGCATCGATTAGCTTGAGACCGAAGATAGTACCAGAGCATAGCCAAAAAGTTGAGTTCGTTTCTTTGGGACCTTCTAGCCTCTATGGTGCTACCAGCTCCGAATACGATTTGGCACGAAATGCGTTTCTGGGATTTTTTTATTATCCGACAAAATGGGCCTAAGGGTCTCAGAATATCATGAAATTTAACCCACACGTAGAGTTTAAATATTGGAGTAAATATTTTCCAGGAAAATTTCAGTTGAAGCGTTTGGAATGTCCCGGGCATCCTGAAATTTGAAAATTCATATCTGAAACACTAAGCACCAAATAAAGAGGTTAAAGATAGGTTTTTAAAGCTTGAAATGTATCTTTCAGTGGGGAAAAATTATTACCGTTTTTGATTTATGAATTAAAACAAACTTTAAAAATCCATTACTTATAAACCATGTATCGTAGACACAAATTATTGCCATATATATATTAAATAACCATGTATCGTAGACACAAATTATTTTGTTATGTGATCCACAAAAAATAAAGTCTTAATTAAGGTTTCCACAAAAAACGAGAAAAAAAACACAGAACAAACCATTTTCCGAATACTGACTGACTGACGAATACTTACTCCAATATTGTTTGTCTTCCTTTGAAAATTTCTTGTCTTTACTGGTCATTATTTAAAAGTGGAATCTCTTACCGGTTTTGAATTATGACCAAAACTCGGGAAATGATTTTTCCAGATTTTCTATGCAATTTTCCTCCATCGTGACAATATTCAGATCATATTGTATTTTAAAATTTACGTTCAAAATACACCGTTTTTTTCTATCATGCTTGTATCATCTTCCGAGCAATCTCTCGGCACAAATTTGTTTAATAAATTAAAAAATGTCACTATTAAACGGTTCTTTCAAAATACTAGAGTATACCTGTACCAATTTGACAGCAACGGTTAGACGAGTTTCCATACATTTTTAGACGAGTTTATCGTCATCTGACACACTCAAATTTGAAAATGATTGAAACGTGTGCTATATTCGGAGACCACGAGAAAGTTGCTAGGTGCCTCATCTTGATAAAAAAAATTGTACTAAGTTCCCCTTCTGTTCTGTGACGTAGTCCTACGCCACCATTGCGTACAACCCCATAGGGCTGTCCCTTGTAGTTTTTTTCTTTTCAGAAAGCGAGTAATGGCGCTATAACCATAAGCCATATAGGGCTAAGACAAGAGCTAGTGCTCATGTCCCAGCAACTCGAGGAGAATGGAGCATCATTTAACTTTTTTAGATTAGATGCTCCCACCGACCAATCTTTTATAACAACGGAACGTACGGTTCGAGATATCCACGTTTCATCCATTCATTGGATTCAGAAGCACCATGTTTAAATCTTTGATTTAAACAGGCCTGAACTTTCTGAATCGTCTTGCCCTTTAAATGCTGCACAATAGGCCTGGCCGTCTTGATATATTTTGCGCATCTCTGATGTACAAAATATACCAAATAGACAAGAAGAAGGATGGCAGTATATCTATCATTTTTCAGGATGCTTTCATGAACTGGTTGTGTTGGTGTTAGATTAGATTAGATTAGATTAGATTAGATTAGATTAGATTAGATTAGATTAGATTAGATTAGATTAGATTAGATTAGATTAGATTAGATTAGATTAGATTAGATTAGATTAGATTAGATTAGATTAGATTAGATTAGATTAGATTAGATTAGATTAGATTAGATTAGATTAGATTAGATTAGATTAGATTAGATTAGATTAGATTAGATTAGATTAGATTAGATTAGATTAGATTAGATTAGATTAGATTAGATTAGATTAGATTAGATTAGATTAGATTAGATTAGATTAGATTAGATTAGATTAGATTAGATTAGATTAGATTAGATTAGATTAGATTAGATTAGATTAGATTAGATTAGATTAGATTAGATTAGATTAGATTAGATTAGATTAGATTAGATTAGATTAGATTAGATTAGATTAGATTAGATTAGATTAGATTAGATTAGATTAGATTAGATTAGATTAGATTAGATTAGATTAGATTAGATTAGATTAGATTAGATTAGATTAGATTAGATTAGATTAGATTAGATTAGATTAGATTAGATTAGATTAGATTAGATTAGATTAGATTAGATTAGATTAGATTAGATTAGATTAGATTAGATTAGATTAGATTAGATTAGATTAGATTAGATTAGATTAGATTAGATTAGATTAGATTAGATTAGATTAGATTAGATTAGATTAGATTAGATTAGATTAGATTAGATTAGATTAGATTAGATTAGATTAGATTAGATTAGATTAGATTAGATTAGATTAGATTAGATTAGATTAGATTAGATTAGATTAGATTAGATTAGATTAGATTAGATTAGATTAGATTAGATTAGATTAGATTAGATTAGATTAGATTAGATTAGATTAGATTAGATTAGATTAGATTAGATTAGATTAGATTAGATTAGATTAGATTAGATTAGATTAGATTAGATTAGATTAGATTAGATTAGATTAGATTAGATTAGATTAGATTAGATTAGATTAGATTAGATTAGATTAGATTAGATTAGAATCGTTTCCCAGGATTTTGCATGTGGGTGAACAAAATCCTTTCGCGAACGGTTTGCTTATTTTCTTCCATCTCGACCGGAGTCTCACTGACAACTGGACAACTGGATAACTGAGCCGATGTAAATAATACACTAAATATAAACTGACCAAAATTTGGTTAATTTCGGTCAAGTATGAAAAAAGTTACGCAAGTTTGAAAGTGTCGCAATAATTATCGACTCACTCTTTATTCACCAAAAAGTTATAGACAATTGTTGCCGCAAGTGAAATCAATTAAATAAAGTGTAGTACCTAAATGTTCAACCTTACCTTCAACAAACCATACTTACCATACTTATACTGTTTAAGACATACACTTAATAGCACTCACTCTCAATCATACACGCAATCTCGCTCATGCACACAAGAAGTGTAACCGATAGGTGAAATACAGTCAGTTGATAAGTGACCAGCAAATCGATAACACGTTTCTGTGCTAGTCCGAAAACCATATTTGCTCTCCCATCGCGTTAAAATTATCGGTGTGACTTGCCATTCGATCCGGCAAGTAGTTTCCCGAAACATTTTTGGTGCCGAAACCCGGGAATCGTCCCGGTACACGTCGCGTGTTTGTGGTACCAGGTACCAGTGCGGTGATCGTTTCTGCATGTGAAATTGAACATTTCGTTTCACGGATTACACGTTTTCCCCACGTTGAACCGTCCATGATGGTAGACGATTGATCAATGTATCGTTCCTAGTGAACATCGTATATCTGTCCAAGACAGTGTTTCATCGGACCGGATCGATACAAATTGTTCAAGATACGAAAAAAAAGTGTGCTGACCTGTGCTTGAAAACCACGTTGCTGATTTATTTTTCGTTATCACAGTGTTAACAGACCTACGATGATTCTTGTTAGTGCGCTTTATACTCGGGATATCGCTCCCGAACAAGAGGAATAGTTTGCTGCCGCGCAGTGAATATTCCCGTAGCCTAGTTGGCTGCTCCTGAGCAGTGGTGATCGCAGAAAAAGAACACAATTGATTTACAACTGATAGGCACTCAATTGGTTGGTGGTGGAAGCTGCTGTGGTGGTTGGTGCTGACCGCCGCGTTGTACACCTTTGCCTGGGTCTGATAGCTGGTGCCGATCATCCTTTCTGGTACCGGTGTAGTCGGAAGGGGTCGATCTTCGTCCGTAGATTGGTTCGGAGGAACACGGATCATCAGTTGGTATCGTCGTAGTCGTCGACACGGCGCGTAAGAGCCGTTACGAGGTAAACTCTTTCCTTTTCTCGGGGCAACAAACACGATGGCGCCGTCGAAGCGGATCAGTAAGGCGACCAAATTGAAAAGCCTGTACCGTCGGCGGTCAAATATTTTAAATTCAGCAGGGCTGATCCAGACGTTAGACGTGGAGTTCGTCGTGGATCAGGAAAATCAACTTCCAATTCGTATCCAACATTTGGATGAATTGTGGCGGGAATTTGAGGGAGTACAAAATCAAATCAAAGATCTTGAAGACGCAGACTACGAGTTCAGGGATGAGAGACGGACATTTCAAAATCTTTATTACACGCTGAAGGCATCGTTGACAACCAAGGTGCCCCTTCCGTGTATTCCGTCGTCGTCTAGGAATCCTCCCGTCCCCATAGCTCAGTCTGTG